GATAAAACACAACCATGACTGTGAGTACCACACTACATCACATCAGTAGCCATGAGTTCAGCTCAACCCTCAAGAATTCCTCCCCCTGCCCCTCTGGCTTTGGTGCTAGACCAGTCACTCACAGAAGGTACCTTTGTCCAGTATATTCCCTTACCTGGAGTTCTGATGCAGCATGTTCCCTTATAGTCTCTACTTCTCAAATTGATGAAAGGAGAACCCAGTGACTTCTTCCCGCTGCCTGGATGCTCTCTCATCATGAAGTCAGCACTGTCAGGAGCTGGGAGAGGCAGCCAGACCCTGAGATATGGGTTGTGATTCAGTGACCTCACCTCCCCTCTGAACTGCAATTATCACTTTACTGGTAGCAGCACTTGCCCTGACAGGCTTGGGGGCTGAGAGTATTGCTCAAAACTTCCTTCCCAGTTAGAATTACCAAAAACAACTCCAGGTTTTCACCAGTGTCTCTTAGGAGATTCTGGGAGTGTTTGTGACAGGTTTTTTCTTTCCATGATCCCAGGAGCTGACAGGGTCTCCCTGGGGACAGACATCAGGATGTGCTGACATCTTGACCCCTGAGGGACAAGAGCAAGACTGCGTGTCTCAGTGGACATTCTGCTTCATTGGAAAGTTCTACCCAAAGTGAGTTCTTTTCTAATCTTCATACAAATGTGATGCACCATCATCTACATATGGAGCAAAGAAATAAACAGGCATACATCTTACAAAGACTTAAAAACATTGACAAGTAAAAGGAAAAATGTGTACATTAGATAACACAACAGTCATTGGTTCAAGTCAATGTCATCTCATATGGAAACTTTAAGAGAAAATATATATTATCCATATTGATATCCAATAGAAAACAGAAGCAGACACAGAACAATATCCACAGAAGAAAAAGAAGGTCCTAAACAAAACCCTCTCACATACAGCACCACAATCACAGAGGTTAACAGGCAGATTCTTCCATTCTTGCACCCATTTCAGAAGCCAGTGCCACTTACTGAATTCAAAATTATCAAATGGTTGACATAGTCCTCTAAACCTTTTTGCAAAATATTCAGTAAGGAACTGCAATTGCCTTTCAAATTGGGAAGAAAATCTTTTGACAGGCAAATGCAAAAATATATACCAGTTGTAAATAATATTTTAGGTTTTTCTACACACAAGCAAACTCTTTGATCCCAGTTCACTATAAAATTATCCTCATTATCAAGTCACTTGTTACATCAATAATGGTGGACAACTCACCCCCCACATTCACACATTTACACATAGATGCAACTGCACATGTGTACGTTCAGGTACACACATGTACAATAAATCATGTACTCACAAAATTTCAACTGCAGAGTCACAAAAAATGCACACAGTGACCACATGAAAATTCACACACATACACATAAATATGCATACTCATCTAAAATAAAACTCACAATCTTGCATAAAATCAGGGTCACCATCCATGTGTATATTTCAATAACATGACCTGCTACAGAAGAATTTGTCTATCTCCAGAATTCTGGATGCCTGAAAAGGAGTGGGGGTATTTTTTATTCTTTTTTTATGATTTTATTTGTTTCTTTAGAGAGAGGGGGAAACAGAAGGGAAAGGGAGGGAGAGAAACATCAATGTGTGGTTGCCTCTTGCGCACCCCAAACTGGAGATTTAGCCTGCAACCCAGACATGTGCCCTGACTGGGATTCGAAATGGTGACCCTTTGGTTTACAGGCCAAGGCTCAACCCAGTGAGCTACACCTCCTAGAGCCTTCTTACTCTTTATAGTCCTTTTAACCCTGCAGCAATCATAGCACTTAATATTTATATAATGCACAGCACTTGACATAGGCTGTGAGCATTGCCAACTTTAGGTCATGACATATGCTGGGGACCTGAGAGTTTGAAAGACAATTACAGTGTGTGGGTATCTCATAGTCCAAAGTAAGAAGAGGCCATGAGGAAGAGAAGACATAAGGATAAAACTCCGGGACAGGGAGTCAGGGACAACCAGTGACAGAAAATGCAGGGAAAGGAAGAGCAGGGAGACAAAAGGCAAAAGGTTTTTAATGTTGGTTCAGTATTAAAGTGCAATGTTGGGGGTTGCAATGCAAGTGGACAGAGTGTGCAGAGAGTTAAGGTGGAAAGATACTGGGATCAGGAGAGATCATAGTGCAGACAGTCATAGAAACTAAAGTTCAATGGGGATGGGAAGTTAATGGGCTACAGTGAGAAAAGGTCAATTGTATGGTGAATTTAAAAAACATGATGTGAATTAGATTCCACATATGAGTAAAATCCTATGGTATTTGAATGAACAAACTGAACAAGCAAAACAGAGACACACTCTTAGATGTAGAGCAGATGACAGCTAGTGGGGGTATTAGTGAGTGGAGGGATTAAGCATAAAGGAAAAAGGACTCATTGCCATTAACAACTATGTGGTGATGGCTAGGGGAGGGGACTTTAGAAGAGTAAAATGTAAAAATTCAATAAAGATTAAATTTAAAAATGAAATTGTTGCAATTTAGAAAAAAAAGAACACGGTGTGGAAAGAAGGAATTCAGATGGGGTAGGAAGATCTCAGTAGAAGACAATGGTCCAAGTCACATAGAGTGTTGGAAAAGGAGATGGAACTGGGAAAAATAAGGGGCATGGCCAAGAAGGCAAAACAGGCACAAAACAATGTGAGCTGAAGGGGACAGTGGGCATGAGTGAGCCCAGGAGCAAGGGGCATGAAAGTATACAATGGGTGTAATGTGTGCAAGGTGTGGTTTGTGTCCCTGGTGGTGAGGATGATGCCAACAAATTAAGGGCTAAAGACCAAAGTCACAGGCCAAGGGATGACATACTGGAATGGGGCATAGGGAGAAGGCAAGAGGAAGAAGGCCAAGGATGGTGGTCTTTGAAAAAGAGACTAAAGCTGAAGAAGGTTAGACTGAGGTCCTTAGAATAGTGGTCATGGAAGGTTGGATGTCAAAAAGGTCAAAAAGGGGAGATGAGGAGTGTAATATGAAGTCTGAAGGGGTTGGATGGAGGTCAAGGAGCTGGTGGAATTCTGGTGGGTGTCTGAAGGCCACAGGGTAAACAGATGAGGATATAGCAGGGGGACTAGAGGGAGAGTGAGAGGATGGTTGGATCTGGGCTGATGAAGGTGGCAGAGGGCACACTGGAGGCCAGGCAACACAGATCCCTCATTAATCCTTTTTCTCATTTATGATCAAATCACAATACTGAGCCATGGTCAATGTTTTAATAAAAATATATTAGACAGGTTGCATCAATTGGAGGTGTACAAGATGTTCATTTGACACATCTATATGTTGTGATATGATTACCACTGTAGTGATAACACCTCTGTTACAACAGTATCATCTTTGTTGTGCTCAGAATAATTAGAATGCAGGCTCTTAGCAAGTTTCATGCTGATAACACAATGGTATAGTCAGTATTTATCATAGTGTGCATTAGATCCCCAGGACGTACTTGTCTACAAGTTGCAAGCTCAGGCCCTGGAACCACCTCTCTCCTCTTCTGCGAAGGTCTTGCTCCTGGTAAACAGCACTTTACTTGCTGTTATTATGACTTGGTTCTTTCAGACTCCACATATAAATGACAGAGGACAGGACCTGTCTCTCTCTGACTTATCTCACTTCACACAATGACCTCAAGGTCCATCTATGATGTCCCAAGTGACAGAATTTCCTTCTTTCTCATAAGTGAATATAATCCATAATGTATCTCACATCTTTCTTAGCCATTAATCCAGGACAGACACTTATGTCGTTTCCATATATGGCTAATGTAAATAATGGGGCAATGGGCAAGGGATGCAGATATCTCTTTAATAATCTGCTTCATTTCCTCATTGCCAGTGTTTTCAACTCTGCATCTGATAGGGGGCTATCTCTTCATTGCTTAGTTGTATTATTTTTTGGATTTTGATCTGTTCTTCCATTTGCGCCATATTTGTTTGCCTGGACATGCCTATTATATACTAAGGGGCAGAGCCTTAGGTATTCACCAGGGAATGCAACTCAGGCTTCATTGTGGCACTGTATGTGGGGGACAGGTCCAAGAGAAAACCATGCCCCTTTGCTCAGCTCTCAGCCACCTTCAGTCACTTCCTCCACTATCCACAAGCAAACTTGGCCCATCTGGTGTTGATTGCCAGGTGGGGCGGTCTACGACCCCATGGGTCTCTCCAACCAACTCTCCTGTGAGGCTGGGAATTTCTCCCACCACCTCAACCCACACAGGTTTTTTCTGTCAGAGGTTTGGAGGCTTTAGTTCCCCTCAGCGAGGGGAACTAAACAGCGAGATGTTCTGTCTCACTCTCCAGTTGTTTCCTCCAGTTTATCTGAACACAGAAGTGGGACTGCCTGCTCAAAGAGCTGCCACCTTGCCAGGAGTCCTCTCTGCCCCTCCTAGTGGATGAATGTTTCTTCCTTAGCTCCTTGGCTGTCGGACTTCCATACAGTTCAACTTTCTAGCAGTTCTGGTTACATCTTGGTTTTAAATCTCTTACTGTCCTTCCTTTGTTTGTGCAAGGAGATCAAGTGTATCCATCTATGCCTTTACCTTGGCCAGAAGTGTCTGGTCTCTCCCTTTTCTTTTGGGGTACTGTGCATACGACCAGACACAGAGGGCCTGACAAGAGAGGCTGTTTAATAGTGTCCGGTGATCAGAAGTGCAAGGCGCTATCAATCCATCCCTTTCAAAGACCTCCTTATGTACTGAAACACTTCAGCGCCACAATGATTTTTAGGTCCCAAGTCTAACATGATGAAAACACCTTTCTTCACTGTGCAATTTCTAACATATAACATTTTATTTTAATATAGATGTAGTCTTCTGATTATGGGATTATGCTGTCACACAAAAAAAGATTTGTTCAAGCCAGTTGTTCTTCAGCCAAACTTTCTGCAGATTATAAGACTGCTCAACACAGACACACAGGGTGCACAAAGCAGAGGACTAGTTAGGACCTAGTTGGTGACTTCATGGCATCCCCCAGAATTGTACTTGTCATGGCCCTCTCAATGGCAATGAGACTCTTTTTTGCTTTTATGGGGACTATCAAGTTCACTCCCAGCCTCAGCAAGGATGCCTACAAGGAGATGAAGCACGCTAACAAGAGCTATGTGCAAGCCCTTCCTCTGCTGAAAATGGGGATCAATGCCATTCCCCTTGGTAAAAGCACTGCTGCTCTCGAGGTGGCCTATGGCATTGTCATGAACCTTGTGCCTGGATGTCCCACAGACATGGCCAACGTCTTCCTGCTTCTGCTGGTGCTGATTGTGCTGTTCTTCCACCAGCTACTTGGTGATCCTCTCAAATGCTATGACCACCCCCTGGTGTTTGGAATCCTGCCCTGCTGCCTGCTGACTGCCTGCAGGCCTGAAGACCACTCTTCTGAGAACAAGCCCTCGCCCCTTGCAAATGAGGGAAATGTTGGGGGAGATGTGTGGGAAGCTGAGGAACAGCCCTTCTTATATGACAAGGCCCCTCAGGGAAAAAGGAAGTTGTCATAGCAAAGTGCAACTACAAAGAATGGACCTTCCATGCAGTTGCCTCCATCACACCCAGGAAGATGTCAGTGTGTGTTTTCTATGTGATCTATTTATCTTGAGAGAAAGGGAAAAATATAATCTACAAGTTAATGTCCCTGTTGGCTTGTGTACACCTACACACCTAAAAGGATCTCTGCACATAGACATATGTGCACCACCTTTACTCACTCTTCTGATATTCTCACATCTTGTCACATGTATATGTATATGTATATGGCTAACTACTGAAGCCTTCTTATGAGATGCACTCCAGGAAGCATATGGCTTTAGGACTGTATGTGTCTGAAAATGTACTTACTGTGTGTGTATGCATGCACAAGTGGGGGGGAAGGCTCTGACCTTGAACTAATCCTGCATAGGTATCCTTCCCTTTATAGGCTGAGTATAGTGAAGGCAATGAAATAAACCTCCCATGAAGAGAATCCCACTTTTGACCTAAAAAAGTGGGTGAATTCCCATGGTATGGAGGAATCTCTTGATAGATTAAGCTGAAAACTTGAACCCACCACTTTAAGGAAAAGTTTGGGTGGGGAAAGATGGCGGCTTTACTCTAGGCAGTGTGATTCTTGGCTTCTGTGAAGAGGATGGAAACTCAAGGATCCATGGAGGGACAGACCAAGTGGCCTAGGTTACCAAAACATTTTTGAAAACAGGACATCAAAAATTATTGTGATCATTGAAAAACCAGATGGTAAGGAGATTGCTTCAGGACAAAAGTGACCCAGGGAACAGCGCGGGGGCCAGGGGGGTTGCAGTTCCCAGGTCCAGTGCTCCTGGGTCGGCCTCAGGGCTCCCGGGAGAGGGGGTCACTGCTCCCTCCCCAGAATACAGGGATTGAGCAACACCAGGGGAGACCTTGTTGCTTGAAGGCACAGAGAGGCCAGGTGGACTGGGGAAAAAATCACCCAGGGACCGTGAACACCCACCCAGAGCCCTGGGAGAACTGAGGGCCTCCAGCTGGCACCACCAGGGGAGGCCTGGAAGAGCGCCCACACCCCCAGCCTGGTGGGAGTGTGGATCGGTGGAAAACCCAGACATCGCAGCCCCGATCCAGGAAAGGGCGCAGGCGTTCTCAGGTTTCTGCAGCCTGTGGTGCTGAACTGTGGAAGCGCGCACCCTACCCGGAATCCTGACTCTCTGCACTGTGAACCCAGAAGTGACAGAGCGCTTAGTGCATACCTAGAGCCTAAAACTCAAAACTTTGGTGGATGGGCACGCCCTTTTAGATCCCCAGAGATGGCACAGTGAATCCCAAAACATCGAGGGTGGTTCCTGAGATCATAGAGTTGGTACCCTGTGGGGACCCCAGTGCCTGGGAAAACTCGGCAGAGAGCGAGCGTGCTCGGGAGCGCCCAGGGTCCTGAAGGGGAAAGTCAGATTGGCCCTGGGAATAGTACCTGAGAGACTTACTGAGATTTGGCTGGGAAGAGTGATAAGCATTTCAAACGTTCCTCAGCCAATTGAAGCCAGCAAGATCAGAAAAACTGGTCTGGCCAGTTAGAGACCAACAGGAGGTTTTTTTGTTTGGTTTGGTTTGGTTTGGTTTGGCTTGGTTTGGGGTTTTTTGGCTGTTGTTGGTTGTTTGATTTTATCTTGTGTTTTAAGTGACTTTTCATTTTTCAATTCTTATTATTTTTATATCTCTCAATCCCTTATGTTTCTCTTCCATTCATCCTAGTATTATTCCTTCCACTCCAAATTTATCTCTCCTGCACTCCATCTTCTGCTGTGTTTTATCTTTTTTTTAATCTTGCAAGTTACTGCAAATTTGTATTATCTTTTTCTCACTTTTCCTACACTTTTTATTTTAATAGTATTTTAGTATTCTTTTTCTTTCTGTATAATCTTCTTTGCTTGGCTGGTTATACTGTCATTTGATAGGTTCCCCCTGGTATCTCAGTCACAGTGTGTTGATAATTTACTATCCTTCATCTGTGTTCCATTAATACACCTCTCAAGGTTCTATACTCCTTATTCTTGTTATCTAGATCTCATAGATTCTGCCACAAGACTGTTGCTTTACTATTACTGTAAATAAGACCTAGTTCACACAATTGTAAATATTACTCAACACCCCTACCTGATCTCAGCCCACTTTGCAATTTCCTGAACTATACTATTGTGGGGATTGTCTCTATTCTTTTACACACCACTCCTATTTACTGATCTTTATTCCAACCCTACCTTAGAAGCTGACCTCCCACAGCCTCACAGCTTTGTAGATCCAACTAACAATCCTTTCATCCCCAATAAGAGTCTTACCTTCTTTCCATCCTTTCTAAAAAGTGGATAGTGGGGTGGAGGATCATGGTTAACACTATAAGGAGCCAAAGGATAACCCATCTCTTCTCTACTGGCTGCTAATGTAAATATCATAGTATACTGTCTTGCTGTCTTAAACCATTTTGCCTTACTCCTCCAACTGATCACAAAAACAGAGTAGGGGGAAGTTGTGAACACCAGGATACACGAAGGAGACTGCACCACTGAATCTCACAAGTATTCTACCACAGAAGTTCACACCGTAATTACAGGGAACCAGAACAGATCAATTTAAGAAACAGAGGCTAACAAGAAGAAACCCACGAACAATGAGAAAACAAAGAAACAATCCCCAATTGAAGGGAAAGGAGGGAGCCTCAGGAAAAATGCTAAATGAGTTACAGGCAACTCAACTATCAGATAGTGAGTTCAAAACAATGATTATCAGGAAGTTCAATGAACTCACAATGAGCTATCAGAAACCAGAGGGAAGCTATAACAATCTCAATGCAAACTATATAAACATGAAGAATGAAACAGAAACTCTCAAGAAGGGCCAAGAGGAAATGAAGAATGCCATTTCTGAACTAAGGAACACAGTAGAAGGAATGAAAAGCAGGATCGATGAAGCAGAAGATCGGATTAGCGAGCTACAGGACAAAGTAGAGTACAACACCCAGAAGAGCAAGAAAAGGAAAAAAGACTCAGAAAGAATGAAGAAGGATTAAGAGAAATGCAAGACAATATGAAACGTAATAATATCCATATAATAGGGATACCAGAAGGAGAAGAAGAAGAGCAAGGGATCGAAAACCTAATTGAACAAGTAATGAAGGAGAACTTCCCTAATTTGATGAGAGAAAAAGTCACACAAATCCAGGAAACACAGAGAGTCCCAATCAAGAGGAACCCAAAGAGGCCCACCTCAAGACACATCATAATTAAAATGGCAAAATTTCAAGACAAAGACAGAATATTAAAGGCAGCGAGGAAGAAACAGGAAGTAACATACAAGGGAGCCCCAATAAGGCTAACAGCTGACTTCTCAATGGAAACACTTCAAGCCAGAGGAGAATGGCAAGAAATACTCCAAGGAATGAGAACCAGAGGTCTGCAACCAAGGCTACTTTATCCAGCAAGGCTCTCAATCAAAGCAGAAGGCCAAATAAGAAGCTTCCCAGACAAAAGAAGTCTAAAAGAATACACCTCCACCAAACCAGCTGTACAAGAGATTCTAAAGAGACTGCTTTAAGTAAGGGGAGGAAAAGAGAGAGAGAGAGAGAGAGAGGAACACTCATACATAAAAGACAATGAATAAGTACCTATCAATAATAACCTTAAACGTAAATGGATTAAATGATCCAATCAAAAGACATTGAATAGCTGAATGCATAAGAAAAAATGACCCACATATATGCTGCCTACAAGAGACCCACCTCAGGATAAAAGACCTGCACAGGCTGAAAGTGTAGGGCTGGAAACAAATCTTCCAAGCAAATGGACAGGAAAAAAAAAAGCCGGGGTAGCAATACTCATATCAGACAAAATAGACTTCCAAAAAAGGTCCATAAGGAAAGACCCAGAAGGTCACTTCATAATACCCAAGGGAAGAATCCACCAAGAAGACATAAATATTGTAAATATATATGCACCCAACATAGGAGCACCCAAATACATCAAGAAAATCTTAGAGGACTTCAAGAAAGATATGGGCAGCAACACAAGTACAGTGGGGGATTTTAACACCCCACTATCAAAAATGGACAGACCTTCCAAACAAAATATCAACAAAGATATTGTGGCACTGAACAATACACTTGATGAAATGGACTTTACTGATACATACAGAGCCCTCCATCCAAAAGAAGCTAAATACACATTCTTTTCAAATGTACACGGAACATTTTCAAAGATTGACCACATGATAGGACACAAAACAAGCCTCAACAATTTCAAGAAAATTGAAATCATACCAAGCATTTTCTAGGACCACAAGAAACTGAAGGTAGAAACCAACCCCAAGGAAAAAAACCCCAAAACACTCAAAATCATGGAGATTAAATAGTATGCTATTAAACAACGAATGGGTCAAGAATGATATTAGAGAAGAAATCAAAAGGTTTCTGGAAACAAATGAAAACGAATGCAAAACAACCCGAAACTTATGGGACACAGCCAAGGCAGTCCTGAGAGGGAAGTTCATAGTGATACAGGCCCACCTAAATAAGTTAGAAACATTCCAAACAAACAACCTAACCCTACGTCTAAAAGAACTTGAGGAACAACAACAAAGACAGCCCAGAGCAAGCAGAAGGAAGGAAATAACCAAGATCAGACAGAATTAAATGACATAGAGACTAAAAGCACAATTCTAAGGATCAGTGAATCCAAGAGCTGGTTCTTTGAAAAGATAAACAAAATCAACAAGCCTTTAAGCAGATTCATGAAGAAAAAGAGAAGACCCAAATAAACACAATCAGAAATGAAAGAGGAGAGATTACAACAGATACCACAGAAATACAAAGGACTGTAAGAAATTACTACAAAGAACTGTATGCCAAGAAATTTGAAAACCTAGGTGAAATGGACAAATTTCTAGAAAACTATAATCTTCCAAAACTCAATGAAAAAGAAGCAGAAAGCCTGAACAGACGAATAACAACAAAAGAAATTGAAGCAGTGATCAAAAAACTCCCAAC